TCTGATATCTCGCCCTGTGGTGGAATTCGAATTCCACAACTCTGATTTTTGTACTGAGTCTGCATACACCGAGGGGACAGTTTTATAATTCCGACAATACCTAGAAATTATCTGTCTGAAAATATATCTCTGTAATTTTTACAGATTTTCATAACCTCTAAGTTTTTATTGAAATTTTCTAACTGAAAAATGAATGGCAAACGACAAAGTCTTCAGGATCAATTCGAAGCAAACATGGATTTCAGCAGCGGTGACGGATGGGCCTCGCACGATGTTTCGCAAGGGAGAAAGGTAAAATCTCAATCTCTTAGGCTATATTTTGGCCGGTTTCAGAGCGCTCAAACACTTGGAGATAAGCTTCCACTTCCTGTGACTCTCTCTTCCCTGAGAAACAATTTGGATGATACTGATGAGGATTCATATCAAATTGGTGAATTTAATTTTAGAACTGTATGTTTATCAGGGCTGATTAAATGTATATTAATAGATAAAACATATATTACAGATTCATTCCGTCGGTGTAATCATGGAGAAGGTTTCGGAAGACGGAAAAACCACTTATACTCTTCACGATCCAGAGAAATCCGAGAAGACGTTCTATGCTATTCAGTTTGGGCAATATGATGTAAATTGGTTGTGAAAGGTTTCTCTCATTTCTAGTTTGTTGTAGGACGGAGGATCAAAGTTTGTGGCTCCCGGTTTGATCGAGGATCAAAGGGTACGAGTGATGGGAAAGCTTAAAAACGTCGGTGGCGAGAAAAGTAGGTTTTTTCCGCAGTTTTTTTAACAGAAGGTTTTCTCGATAGAACGGAACCATATTCACCAGTATATTACAGTGATTCTCATATATTACCTCCAACAATTGGGCGACGATAAGGACTACCAAATTTTCAAGCTTGAAGCTGAAGTTGCTGAGTTATTCTTCAAAAAGAATTTGCTTGAAAAAATGCGGACTGGAAACACCAATGGGTGGACTGGGATGCTGGCTCCACCAATGACCAGATACTTCGATAATTTCGATGCAAATTCTTTCATGGTATAGACTGAGACAATTAAATACGGATAATTTATGATTGCAGCACTCGGAAATTTCAAAAACTCCAGCTGCTCCTATCAAAATAGAACAAAAACTCATCCAAGCAACTCCTAAAACATCATCTGCGTTCAAAGCGAAGATTCGAGCTTGCATCAGGTCAGAAGCTGAACGCGGTACGTATGGCAACGACGATGGTGTCCCATTCACCAAAATTATGAGCAGAATGAATGGCGTGTCAGAACAAGCTCTTCGTGAAATCCTCACTGAAATGGAGAACAGTGGAATGATCTACGCCGCTAAGCACGAAGAATATATGTCTCTGTATTAATTTTATTGGTTTTATATCTTCTAGATCTGTAAAAATCGTAGAGTACAAAGAGCATACTGCGTGCGTTATATTGCATAATAAATAGATTTGTTTTTAAAGTTTCAATTGTTAAAATAACCAGTCGGTTTACGCCCCTTCGGGGCTAAACCTCCTGGCCCCCGCTTACGATACCCGCAATCTTATAAAAAGGTTCCGTCACTTTTACGGAGGCTATTTTTTAGGGCATATGCTCACAAATTGGAAAATTAAGAAATTTTGAAAGTTGGGAAGTTCAGAAATTCAGTAGTTCAGAAATCGAGTAATTCGGAAGTGCAGAAATTCAGAATTTCAAGAAATTAGAAATTCGGTCATCCAGAAATTTTGACACTGAGGGATTAATGATTCAGAAATTCTGATTTTTTGAAATTCCAAATTTCTGAGTTTCTGAAGTTCTGAAATTCTGAATTTCTGATTTTTTTTTTGAGATTCTGAAGTTTTGATTTTCGGTTTTTCGAATTTCCGAATTACCAAATTTAGATTTTCTGAAATGCAAGAACTTAACTTAAAGGGGGACTCCGACCAAAATTTTTTATTGCATTAAAATGTTCAGAAAGTTGTCTATTTTCCCAATATTATAGCGAAAAAAATTGAAAAAAAATCCGAAATCCCCGAAAAATACCGTTAAAAGCGAAAATTTTTCAAAAAAGTTGTTAGGAATGACGAGGATTTGAATTCCCGCGCAGTGAAAAACCTAGGCCACGGCTCACCATATGGGAATTCAAATCCTATTTTTTTTTCAACGCCGTTTTTCGGGGATTTAGGATTTTTTTTCGAAATTCTTCGCCATGATATTAGGAACATACATATTTTTTGAAACATTTTAATCCAATAAAAATTTTTGGTCGGAGTCTCCCTTTAAGAAATTTTAGTTTTTGAGACTCTTAATTACTGAATTTCTGGGTTTCTGATTTTTTTTGAGATTCGGCCTTTCTGAACTTCAGAATTCTAGAATTTCGCGAATTTCCGAGTTTTCGATTTTCCGCATTTCAGCATTCACGAATTCCTAATTTGTTGTTATTTTCAAAATGATAAATATTTGAGATTTTTTGAATTTCCGAATTTCGAAATTAGGATTTTCCGAAATTCAAAAACTCAGAAATTCAGGTAATCGAATATTTGGAAATTGAAGTGCTCGAGTATTCAGAAATTAGAAATCCGAAAATTTACACATTTTAAAACTTTGGAATTTGGAAACTTATTATTTCAAAGATCCAGGTTTCTATAGTTTCAGCATTTAAAAAATTTTCAAAGTTTGGAAATTCAAAACCACTGAAAGATTTTGATTTCTTAAAGTTCGAAATATTTTGATTTCTTAAAACTTAAAGCCTAAGAAATTCAAAGACTACATTAAACGCGTTGGTATTGGTCTTTAAGGGAGCTTGTCTTTTTCTCAGATTTATTATCATAATTTATTCTTCCTCTCAAATCTTCAGAACTCAGACTGAACCAATATTCGCACAAAATCATATTTTTGTCTGATATAACGTGGATAAGAAAAAAAAATAGTGGAGTTGAGCGGGAATGACGTAATTATAATTTCTGAAGACGTACTGTAGAAATAGAAGAACGTCTCCAGAAGACGTCAGAAGCAAAATTTCACAAATCAAAATAGACGGGCATCATCTCGTTGCTATTTCGGGTTATCTGTGAAAATTTGGGAAATTTTGGTCCAGTGGTGACTTCGCTAGGGTCCCGGAACCGGGAACACCGGACACACACACAGAATTTGGTGATTGTTAATAGTAAAGATAATATTGTTAGTTTTGCAATGTTTATTTCATGACCTAAATATAAGACCTCCACCCAATTTTCTCCGGGGAAGGGGTTGTTCTCCAAGGAACNGATTCCGAAAAAATCGGTGGAGTCTCAAAGATAACATCTAGGAAAGCCACGACAAGTTCCTGTCGGCTGGCCGTCTGTTTGCGGACACAGCATTATATATGACGGCAAGCTGCGTCTACATTATCATAGGGATATAACGATTTCCAACACATTTTTGCTGTTTTTATATTTTTCAGCTAACATATCGACTGCACATATAAAAATTGTCAATTTCCAGAAAAATGATTCGGGGAATCAACCCGATATATCAGGCATTGCTCGCTGCCACGTTCACATGGGGAGTCACTGCACTTGGAGCTTCTCTAGTCTTTGTTATGCGACATCAAAGCAAAAAACTACTGGGTAAGTTTGGAAAAAAAGAGAACTGTTTTTATATATGACATTCAGATGTATCTCTCGGATTCGCAGCCGGTGTGATGACTGCAGCTTCATTCTGGTCCCTTCTTGCTCCAGCAATAGAAATCGCAGAAGGTGATTATGGAAAATGGGCGTTTGCACCAGTCGCAGCTGGATTTGCAGTGGGTGCCGGATTCGTACATTTTGCTGACACTCTATTACCATCGTGAGTCGTTTCTAGTTTTAAAAAACTGATGAATATCGAGATAAATAGATAATTTAAACTCAATCCTGTTATAAACACTTCAATGTATCTTATACCTTAGATGTGTCGGAGAAGCTGGAATGACATCGTTGCTATCTCCACCTGCTCCACGATCTGATACAGAGATGTCTTTGATGCCTGCTCGAGAAGATCTTGATGTGGCTGCTCTCGCACGGTGAGTTCGAACAATTGCTTATCTCACAGGAGTTTAATCATCACAAATAGTATCTCACATTCATGAAAATGTAATATATTTTATCCCCTCATAGTTTCTCGTAACTGTGTGTGATGTTTCGTGTGAACTCATTATCCATTTTCCCCATATTTTTCCCCGATTAGCATCTTTCAACTATATAGGTCTTCAAGTAAGTCAGAGGAAAAAACAACAGTTCGACAACGGCGACGGGAAAAATCAGCGGCTATCGGAAAATCGGAAAATAATAGGTGAGAAATGACGGGTCAACTATCTGTTTTTTATTTCTCGACTTCTCGTGGTAAAACGAATAATGCCATTGTGCATGTCTGTTCAATTTCTGTTCCTCACAATATGCACGTCCATGACTCACTGAACAGAGAGGCCTATTAAAAAAACTAGTCATATTAATAATCAATGAATATCACTAGCATACCTAAATCAAAAATGTCTTATTGTCCACAGCTAATATTTTGGATTACTTAACGCACGTTCCAAACCACGAGAAGCCTTGAAAACATCAACCTATAAACACGTCGTTTCGAACCTGTTTTCCGGTTTTCAAAATTTTACCTGAAACACACTAATCAACATACTCAGTTTCAATTTAACACGTCCCCTCAATCAATTCATGAAATTTTTGAATACTCACAATTATGATCACAACCAACTAAAAAATACGCAAAGAATAATTTAAACAAGCAATCGTCATTTATTTTCCAGCTCGGTGAACGAAGAACATCGGGAACGAGATCGATCCGTTGAAAACTGCAGTGATAAGAGACCTGATGTCATTCCAGAGGAGGATTATCGGCAGTCCTGGAGACGAATTCTATTGCTCATTCTTGCTGTAACCGTTCACAACATCCCAGAGGTAAGATTTTTTTTAGAAAACTAATAAGTACAATTTTCAAGGGCCTTGCTGTGGGTGTCGGATTTGGATCAGCTGGTAAAACAAAACAAGCAACATTCGAGTCCGCATTCAATCTGGCCATTGGAATTGGTTTGCAAAATTTCCCCGAAGGACTTGCAGTTTCTCTGCCCCTTGCCGCTTTTGGACATTCGAAACTTAAAGTAAGAGTAGGAAAATAATCGTGATATGGTATATAAAAAACGATTTGTTTCAGGCATTCTGGTACGGTCAGTTGTCTGGAATGGTCGAACCGATCGCAGCACTTCTCGGTGCGGCCGCTGTGATCTTCATGGAGCCAGTTCTTCCATATGCACTTGCCTTCGCTGCCGGTGCAATGATTTACGTGGTTGTCGATGATATCATTCCAGAAGCTCAAAGAAATGGAAATGGAAAATTGGCATCTTTAGGGTGTATTATCGGATTCCTAGTTATGATGTGTATGGATGTTGGATTGGGTTAAGTTTCTCATTTGAATACTGTAGATCATTTAATTTTTTCTGTGAAAAATCATAGTTCAATTCCAAAAAATAACCGTTTTCTGTGATCAAGTGTCTCGTTGCCTACGCATTTTCTATTTCAAATTCCATAACTTTTTGGTGCCACGAACCGTCTCCTATTTTCATAATAACAATAATTAATGGTGTAATATGATTCCTGCATAATTTCAGGGTTTTATTAAGTCTTAACTTATTTTGTTTTGTGCACCCTTCTCTCTCACTTTTTATTCATTTTCGCAAATGTGTATATAAAGTTTTTTTTGTTGGTACATTGATAACTTATTATTGAAACTGGAGTAATTTTTCTTCGAAGTCGATATTCATCCTATCTATTTAGCCTCAAAAAAATTTCCATAAATTACCGTATTAATTCAGATGATCACTTCTCGGGTTCTTCGTTTCCCCCGAAAACCGTTTGTTGACCTCGATTATTCAAGGCATATGCCAGCTGCCTACGTGGAACGAACCAAGAGAACAGTGCCGAGAAAAGTTTTTGGAGATCGGTAAGTGGCATGTCTTCTAGTTTACTAATTACCATAATTCAGATTTGGAGCACCTGATATTAAAATGTACTATGTACATCCAGATGACTACCTACCATCTCATCGACGTCCGTGGGAAGATAAACAACTATCCTCCCATTTGCAGAGATCGGACAAATATTTTTCTGCACAGTGAGTGATAGACCTCTAGAAAAACGACAGTATTAAATTCTCCAGACTTTCAAACAAATATTTCGAGCTTCGTCGCCCGAAGTCTGAAAGAATGCCGGATACTGAATGGACATTTTTCCCAGGAGATCTTGTTCAAGTTATGGTTGGAAAAGACAAAGGCCGACAAGGACTTGTGCTAACGATCAGCAGAGATTCCAGTGAGGTTGGTTTACACAGTAGGTTTGATTTCCAGCAAACATTGTATGTTTTCAGGTAGTCGTTGATGGTTTGCACACGAGGCTTGGAGAGGATATGGAGGGAAGTGAAAAACTGGGAGTCGACAAAACACTCAGATGGCAAGAACAACCACTTTCAGTGTCTAAGAAACAAGTTATGTTGGTGGATCCAAATGATGAGAATCCATGTGAGGCTAGGTAAGAAATTATAAAATAGTATGCTGGCATGATTTTTCACGTTCAGATGGCAATTGAATGCGTCTGCGGATGAATACATTCGAGTATCAACTAGAAGTGGCTACGAGATTCCAATTCCATCGCAAGCAAAAGTCACCTACGAGTATCTCCAGCCAGAGAATTATATTGGTTAGGAATCATGAAAAGTTCACTTTTAAATGCTAATTCATTCCAGAGGTGGAAGGTAAAGACACACCTTCGGATGCTGTTTTGGAGAGGACTTACATGCCAAGAGTAGCAAGCTTCGAACAAGAAATAATGGAAGAAATGGGCATCAAAGAGGACAGAACCCCGAAACCAACCTTCTGGTACTAAGCAATCATTGAACATCTTTCATATTGTTTCAATTGTTAGCGTAGCGTATGATTTCTTTTTTTGTTATCGTTTTTCCTCAATAGATGTTTTGTTATTTTCTTTCTGTTCGATCTCTTCTTTTGTCGAAGAAAATACACTTTATTAAATGGAGGAGAAATGGATGAGGAAGCTGAAGTCATTTTCAAAGAAGAAGAAGAAGAACTGCATGAGAGAAACACCGAGAATTGTGCTCTAAATCATTATTATTATGTCACAACAAACGCAATTTTTGAGGAGGAGGAGGAAAAAAACTGGGGGAAGAAGAACAAATAAAGCACACTATATTTTCAGAGATTTTCAAGGAATGAGTGATTCTTTTTTTCGATTGTTTACTACTGAAAAGTTAAATACAGAGAAATTAAAAGTGCTCGTTTTGTTGAATTGTACAGCTTGTCAGTTGAGTTTCGGATGTCTGAAAACGAGTAATTCTAGTTGAAAAAGGGGAGGAATAGCTTACTGGAATCTGGCATTGCACTGAATGAGCTTTTTGGCGTTTCAGATCTTCTCTAATGAAACCTGTAAATCATAGAATGATTTAGCGCGTATTTGTAAAAAGGAATACGGTAAGTACCGTAACTTGGAATTTTTTGAATTTTTTCGAAATTTCCGAATTTCTGAATTCGAGTTCTTTCTAATTGAATGACAACCGTCCTGAAAAAAAAGTCAACCTGGTTTTTCAAAAAACTTACATGTAAGAACAGTTCCCACAATCAGACAAGTACTCATTATGATATTACTGGTGAGTGTTCCAAAACTGTGCATCACAATTCCCATGAGCCATGTGAGGGCGATTCCGAATATCTAAAAAGATTGAAATTTGTATTCGAACTACAGTAATTCCTTCATTTCTCATTTCGAAACTAGTTCAAAATAGCAAGAAATTATCTCCCCAGGCGGTCCTCCCCACGTGTCCTTTTATGCTTTTGATCTACCAACTACCACCTTTGACCCCCTTGTTTTCTCTCAAACAACTTCCTGCTCTTTGTGCATGTTTCTCACCTGTGCACTTGCATTCAAAAGACCACTTGTGGTCCCTTCAGCTGCTGGGTACGTGATTTCGGCGGCAAATTCAAATCCAATTGGCAAGTATCCAGTCATGAAGAATCTGATAGATGAGGAGTTGAAAAAAAGCTTTAAAAAAAGAAAAATACCCTAAGAGAGCAGCATTGATGAAAACTATAACCATAGAATCCAAATCAATAGTGAGAGTGAAAGAGAGCATTCCAATGAAAGAGAAAAGATAAATCATGATTGTGGTCAATTTGAACTTTTTGAATTTGTCCAAAATGAATCCTCCGACAACAGATCCTGCCATTCCAGCAACAACAATCACTAGACCAACTTGACCGACTGCTACGGTTTCCTGAGATGGGAGAATGAGATTTTAGAGGATCTAGGATGAATTCTTACATTCGGATATACGCTCAAAACCATTTGAGAAAGAAGTGTAGAGATGGCATAGAAGACTCCAGTGTTGATTCCTGGAAACGATATTTTACATCTTGAAGTAACCAAGTAAATATTCGGGTTTTTTGCTCTTGACAGTAACCTACATAGGTGCCGTATTTCCTCTAGAAGCACACAAACCGTCATAGAATCACACAAACCGTCCATTTTGAGCTCAATTATATCGATTCCTATTAAAGATATCAAACATTTGCCAACTGATAAAAAATTAGCAACATTGTGATAAATATTTTAACGGTCAACCCATTTTTGATATCTCTTATAGAAATTGAGATAATTGAGCTCATCGTTGACCGTTCGGATGGGATTCATTTAGAGGAAGTATGGCTTTGCGTCACTTCAAAACCAGTCATTTCGAAACCGGTTCACACCCGTGGTAATGCAGGCGAATGGATAAATTTGAGACTAAAACAATTTTTGCGTTTTTAAATAAGCCTTAGAACACATTCTGAAAAGCGAAAAATCCAAAATTTAATGTTCTCAAAAGAAGAGAGTTCTTCGAATTTTTTTATTTTCAAATTGTGTTCTATTAGAAAAAGCATATTTGAAAATCCTAAAATTGTTTTTATAGTCTGAAATTTTTTATTTACCTACATTACCACGGTCTCGAAATGTCTGGTTTCGAAGTGACACGGAGCCGGAAATACAGTAGTTTATAAAAAAAGAAAATTCTCCCTGACATAGGTAAAGAGGTCTTGACAAAAACTTCTAAATAACAGATGAAAAGGAGCACAATGGCGTATGACTGCTAGTTGGCAGCCGAAGGAGAACCAACGGGTCGTCGATAGGCCGTTAACGGATAATCGGAACCCTTTGGGAAACCGACTTGATATTTTTTAATCAGAAATTAACCAGAAAACAATATTTCATAAACGCAATAGATTATAAACATCTATTCAGTTAGGAACCGTTAAGAAAAAGGCAATAATTTTAGACGGTCAGTCTTCGAGGTGCAAATCGTTTCAAACTGCCGGCAGCGCTCTGGAGGACAGTCTGTTTTTTGGCAGTCCCCCTCTACCTGTTTATACATTTCTCTTGATTTGATTTTTCATCAAATCACCTCTCTTCATCATCGAAAACATCAATTTGTCGCCATGTCGAATGGGATTTTAATAGGGGGACAGGAGGTGAGTGTGAAGGCTCGGTGAGAAAAACGAAATCAAATCGATCATCATCTTGTCGCCGTGTCACACCCCAACTGCCACTTCCGAGACATGTTGATATCTTCTTTTCATTTTTTTATTACACATTTAATTGCTTTCTCTGATCTTTTTTCTTTTTTTCATAATCGAAAAAATGTGTGTCTTGGCACCTTTTCGTTTTGAATCCTACAGTAACCCATTTCTTACCGTAGGTAATGAATAAAATGACAAAGTCGCGAGAAGTCATCAATTTTCTTAGAGTTCCCCAGAAGTTGTTATCGAACGTCTTCTCTTCAAGAGCATTCACTTGGGCGAGACTTGGTGGAACTGATGGACGGGCGGTGAAAACTGAAATTCGGAAAAGTTTACTTTTCACAAAACAACAAAAAAAATGCTCACAGCAAACAACCAATGCCAGAATGATAGTATTCAAGACAGCAGATCCCAGGAAAAGAGTATTCAAGTCATAAGTGATGTGTTGTACAGTTCCATTCGAAACAATCATTGGAGGCAACACAAATCCAACAGCAATCCCCAATTGATTTCCGAAAACTCCAAGAGCACAAGCACGAGAAACTTCATCAGGTCCAAACCAGACAGCTGCCAATCGGGGTGGAATTCCTAATGTGAACATTTGAGATGCTCCGACGATTGTTTGCCCGACGAATGTCACCCAGAAGGAATCTGAAATAGATCTCGATCCCTAGTGTTCGGATTTTCGAATTTTCGTCTATAGTTCCCATATGTTTTATGACATGTTTCGAATAGAGATTGAAAAGTGTTATATACCTGGATGTGTTGACATGAGTTTGATCCATGCTCCAATGCAATTTCCCAGTGCTCCGAGAAGAACAGAAAGACGAAGTCCCCATTTATCGAGAAGCCATCTGGAATGTTTGGAATATATATCTATGATGTCTAGATCAAAGAAGAAGTATTCAAATAACTGTGATTTTCCACTTGAATAGTCAGATTTCAAGATAAGTTACCATGTAATCTCATTGCTTTTAATGAAAATGACCATTTTTTGTGTCTACAGAAGTACTCAGTACTAGTCTGTCTAATTTGAAAATTTCAGTTAGTGAATCACAAGTTTAGAGCTCCATTTTTAATGCTCCATAAGTTGATTTTGTTTTTGTTCAATTACATGCTGAAGAGATAATTCATGTAGAATCTCTGTTATCCTAAAACATTATTTGAAAATGTTCAGACATAGAACAACAAAGCTAAAATGTACTGTTCTGTAATTTGGGGGAAAGCACTTTGAGAAACACTAGTTTTGAAATTTCTGAATTTGAGAATTTGAGAATTCCCGCTTTTGGCGAGTTTTTCAAATTTTCCAAATTTCCCAAACTTCTGAATTTCAAAACAACTGAATTTTATGAATTTCCGGATTCCGAAAGTACCGAATTTCTAATATTTCGAACTTCTTGATAACTGGAGACTTGAATTCGAATTAGCTAGATTAAAAATTTTGAAAATGTCAAACTTCAAGATCTCAGGATTTTAGAAATTCAGAATTTCCCGAGCTTTTGAATTTCAAGATTAATAAAATTTTAAATGTCTGGAATCCATAATGTTTGTGTTCCCGATTTTTCTATAATCAAGGTTTTCGAATTCCCGAATTTTCAAATTTCTAAATTGCAAAAGACAGATATTATTGTCTATTCAAAATAATCG